TTTGGCCATTATATCTTAATTTTCAAATGTATAGGCATAAAGTTAAATTTATTCTCTAAGTATCTATAGTTGTGCCCTTCTAATTATTCCTAATGTTAGTTGTGCTTTGTTTTCAACTGTATTAGACTTTTTTTCAAAGAACCACCTTTTGATCATGGGTATTCTCTACGGTATGTTTTCTACTTCTTTAATACCTATCTTGTCTTTCTTATCGCTTCCCTCTACCTAATTTTTTATTATTTTTCTGGTATTTCAATGGAATCCTATCCCCATTAAGTTGCAGCCTTTTTCCTTTTTAGAAAATCTATTTGATTCTACATATTCCTGCCAAGTACTGCTTCAGCCTATGTTATACTCAGCCACTGTTTTCATTATTTATCTTAACATACTTTTGAACTCCCACTTCAAAATCATTGTTGAGCCCTGAATTATCTAGTGGTGAATTTCTTAACTTCTATATGTAAATGTTTGTGCTGATTTTTCTGGTATTATTGATTATGAAGTTAATAAATAATTTGGGGGGCACAATATGATTATATGATTTTAATCACTTAAAACTTATTAAGACCTCTCTAAAATCTAGAACTAAACTAAGCAAACCTTATCTGTAAAGGGTCAGTTAGTAAATATTTTAAGCTTTATGATTCTTACAGTATGTTAAAATTGCTCAGTTTTACTGCTGCCATTCAAAAGCAAGCCTAGGCAGTATGTAAGTAAATGAGTGTGGTTGTGACTTTCTTAGTATTCAGGTTGTACAAAAAGCCACTAGAGTAGAATTAGCCCCTGAAGGCTATGTTTAAGGATCCTCAGCCTGCAATATGGTAAATTTTTTAAACATACTTTGTGCATGCTTGAAAAAAAATCTTCTGCAATTTGGGAATCAAATATTATGTATCCATTAGGGTGAGTTTGTTGGTGTGCTAAACAAATCTATAATCTAAGTTTCTTTTTAAGATGTTTTCTTTGAAATATAACATTAATAAAGGGGCACAGATTTTAAGTGTACAATTGATGAATATTTTCAAAGTCAATGTTTGTTAATATCACCCAGCTACAAACATAGGTATTGCCAGAGCCCAGAAATCGGCATGTATCTTTCCCTCCCCATCACTAATCCCCTGGAAAGTGACTGCTGCTATTTTGACCTCTATACACCCACTTCTTTCTTGATTGATTAGTATTACTTATTTTTAAACTTTCTATGAATGGCATTATATGATACGAATTTCTTTGCCTGTTTCTTTCACTCAACCTATTTGGGCATTCTGTGTTGTTAAAGTATATAAGCAATTGTGGTTGTTTATTTTCGCTACTGGGGGGTATTCTACTAGTTGACTATATCAAAAAATGTTATTCATTCTCCTACTGATGGACATTTTTTCTTAAGATTTATTTATTTATGGTTTAGAACTGGGGTACAGACCAAAGGTGCAGGGGGTGAGAGGATTCTCTAGAGGCAGAGTGGGGAGCAGAACAGGCAGATTGACAAAGTACACTGCTGAGGGGAGCAGCAGGCGGGTCAGGAGAGGTCTGCTGCGCCTAGATCACCTCTCTAGCCTAGGATCTAACTTGCACTAAAGTGGCTGGGGGAAGCTTCGCAGTGCTATGCTTTAAGCTGTTGTGCCACCTGGGAGGGCCCTAATGATGGACATTTTATATCTAGTTTAGGTTATGTCCAGTTTGTGACTTGCCTTTTCAATTCAGTAGTGAGCAGAATTTTAAAATTTTTTGTTAAGTCTAATTTATGTTTTTCATGATTTGAAAAGAATTTGACATTTTGTAGTTTAATAAATTCTTGACTAACCCAAGGGATTGTAAAGATTTTCTCAAATGCCTTTTTCTAGAAGCCTTGTGATTCTACCCCTAATATTTTGATCTATAATACATCTTCATTTTTGCATATAACATGAGCTTGTAGTCAAGGTTTGTTAATCAGTAAATCTATCCAATTGTTTCAGTATCTTTATTGAAATACACTTTCCCTTCTCCATAAAATTAGTAATATTCTTTTTATTGCATATGCAATATTCTGTTGGATATTTGTCTGTTTTAATACCAATATTATGATCTTTATGATATGCTATGATAGTGTAATGGCATAAAATCAATATTAGATCTTAGTCTTTTGGCTAATTTATACCTTTATTTCTATATAAATTTAAAATCAGCTTGTTAGAAATTTTGATTTGGTTTGTGTTGATTCTAAAGTTCTATTTCAAAAAACTGATTATATTAACAATATGGAACCTTCCTATCCACTAACATTGTACATATTTCCATTTACTTAGGTCATCTTTATTTTATTTGGTAGTTTTAAAGACAATGTCTTGCATATCCTTTGTCAAATTTATTACTAGACATTTACAAATTGATTTGGAGAACATACTGTTTCCTCTGGACTTTCAAAATTTACTTATTAGTTCTAGTTAAATTCAGATTTCTCTGTGTTTCATGTTATTGTAAATAAAAATAACTATGCTTCTCTAATTTTTATGCTCCTTTTTTTTCTTTCTTCCTATTTTTATTTATTGCAATAACCAGCATTTTCAAAAATATTGTACTTAAGAGGTGACTATGGATATCCTTGCCTTATCAGATCTCTTAGGTAGAAAAGCTTTTAAATTTCACCATTAATCATGATGTCATATTATTTTTTTCCTTTAAGATTTTATCAAATGGAGGAAATTGTCTTCCTTTTTCAAAGGAATGGGATTTTTTTTCATGAATAAGATTTTAATTTAATGCTTTTTAATATAGTTTAAGAAGTTCATATGATTTCCTTCTTTATTCTACTACTATAGCAGTTTGTATTGATGAATTTATGAATGTTAAACCAGCCATTGCTTTATGGAAAATTCTATTTATGGATACAATTTTATTTTTCTATATTGATGAATTTATTTGCTAAAAACCTGTAAAGAATTTCTGTACAATTGCCAAAGGATATTTAGTTCATAATTTTCTCAACCCATTCATCACCATAGCCCAACCTATTCCCCAGTACCAACCATATAAAAGATACTGTACAAATTAAATTTTTTAAAAGAAGTCAGAAGACCTACACTGAGACCCACATTAATTAATTTAAATTATCTAAAACATTAATTAATATTACTAATTCAATATTTGGATATTAGTCACGTGCCACGTACAGTTCTACTCACTGTGATTTCCCTTCTTCCATCTTCAACCACTCCTCAATATCTTTTACTAATTTTCAGGTCTCCAACCTCTAAACATTAAGTTATATGATTCTTGTTCATCTAATCATTTGATCTAGTTGCTGTAAATGCCATATATAAATGAACAACTCTTACAATATAATCTTGACTTACACTCTCATATTTCTGATGCTACCTCCATATATGAGCACTGGATATCTAATAGGTATCTCAAACTTAGCATGTTGAAAACTGATCTGTACTATAGCTTCATTTTGCATGTGGCATGAGTCTTCATAGTCTTGTCTATTAATGAAAAGGTATTCTGGCCTTCCAGTAGACATAGACCATGACATTATTCTTATGCTTTTTCTTTCCTCCTTCATCAATAGTCTGCAGTAAACCCTGTGAACTCCACCTTCAAACTTTGTACAGAAACTGACCACCTCTCCTACTTTTCTTGCCATAATTCTGGTCTAAAATATATCATGTCTCACCTGGATTATTCCCCTTCCAATTTTCTGAATACAAGTGATCAGAGCAATATGTTTAAATATAAGTTAGGTCATAGCCCACACTTCCATATATACCCAGAAGACTCATCTTATTCAGAGCAGAAATATAGACTTTAAAATGACCTAAATTTCCTCTAATTACCAATATATCTCCTATTCTCTTCCTTGCTCACTTAACCCCAGTGATTGTCACTTTTTTGTTGTTATTTAAACATACTCCTACCACAGAACCTTTGTATTTGTTGTTTATTTGTCTGAAATACTATTTTATTGAATATCCTCAGAATTTGAGATTTGTTCCATTGCTTTTGTCAAGTCTTTACTGAATTTTTTTTACCTGGCCATTTGTCAAAACTGAAAACCCTCAGAAGGAGTCTTATTGCTCTTTCCTGCTTTACTTTTTATCTTAAAGGCACCTTCACTACCTAAAATGTAGTATCTTTTACATAGTTATACTATTAATTCTCAGAAACCTCCAATAAATTCTAAACTCAATAAAATCAGGATTTTTAAATATTTTTCACTCCTGTCACCTCAGTGAATAGAACAGTGTCTGCCATATTTTTCAATAAAGGTATTGATAAGTAGAAGAGCAAATAAATACAAGAGTTACAAAGCAGATAGTCTTTGACCTCATGGAGCTGATAATCTCATATTAGTGAGTGGAGTCAATAAAATTCTGCTGGAGAGAGAGAGAAAAGAAACAAATTCAATAAAGATAAGCATCAAAGTCTGGTGGGTTACCCACATAGTGGACGTTGGTCCAGCCAAAGATAGCCAAGTCTCTGTTATAGCAGTAGAAATAAAAACACAATATCTTGGAAGCAGAGGGAAAGAAGATTAAAGACATGCTGCAAGGATGACCTTGTAATTAATAACAGGATAGTCATCATTTCTTTCAAGAGTAAATATGCACAGGATCCATTAAGAAATTTTAACAGTTCCAAAACTGATTTCAGAAGTATACAAGGCTAGAGAAGTGCAGAGAGGCAGGGTTGTATAACATGCATAAACCACATAAGGTAGGCATTGAAAAGAAATAATCCTTCTGTAAATGATAACACAGAAAGAAAGAATAACCTGGTGATAACTGTCATTAAAAGTTTTACTGACTTGTCCACGCTACAGGAATACTGTAGATCAATCTTGTCTTACTTGAAAGCTGTAGACCAGTGAAATTCCACTTCTACTATGTGGTGAGCACCTGTGTAGTCATGACAAGTTTTCAGCATCAATCAGCTGCTCTCATACCTTAGGTTTGACTTTCACTGTTTCTTTTTTTTTTTTTTTTAATTTTAATTATTTTTCTGTTTTGGATTAACAGGTTCCGTTTTTTGGGCCTTTGTTTGATGGAGCCATAGTGAGTGGGAAGCTACTGCCAAGCCTTATATGTGCCACATGCATCAACGCCAGCAGGGCTGTGAAGTGCCTCATCCCGCTCTACCAGAGCTTGTATCTTTTTGCTTTAAATACATAGTTTATTAACCAGAATCCAGACTTCTGCCAGTTTTTCATGACCGGTAAGTATTAACACTGGATTGAAGAAGGAGAAAAGGCTTTTTCAATCTATTTTGAAAATAGTATAGTGTGATTTCCATGTCATTTGTTAATTTATGTTGATTATAATTATGTTGTTACAGCATGAACCTAAGGAAGGGTTTATTTTCAGAAATTAGTTACATAAGTTTGTACTGAGAGGCTGTACTATTAAGAGATCCTCATATCTCCTCAGATGTTTCATATCTCAAGCTCAGTTTCTTTCTTGTCCTATTTTTTATTATCTACTGTGTGGAAGGTGGGAAGCTGAACCATATGTGACAGGTTCACTTAGTGTACCTGTCAGAAACCAGCAGCAGTGAAATGATTCTAATAAACCAACTAATGTGGAGATGCCACTAGACAGGCTCAAAGAGGGCCACAGAAGGTCAAAAGGGGGAGAAGTTGCATCTGATTAGGAGCAGAGGGCAAGGAGACTTGTCCTCAGAGAAAATGCCTTTGAACCCATCAGTAAAAATAGGTAGAAATGCTTTGATAATTTTCCCAATCATTAAAATTTCTTTCTCTAATTCTTGATCTTCTTTCTCAAAACAGATGCAATTCCACATCTATATTAAGTCTCAAACATTAGTTGGCATGCTATAATTCTTAAATTCAAGTATAACCTCTGACTATAAGAAAATAATTAAGTCAACTTGATATGTTCACTGCAAAAACCATCTACTCTCCTAATAAAACTTTGAGTCTTTTCGTTTCTACTTAGTATTGATAATGATCATAAAAATACTGTGGTTTCCCCCTCGAATAGTGGGTGATATATTGCTGGAGGGTGGAGTTGAGAGTGGGGAAAAATATGTGTGAATAGATACAGTTCATGAAAAATACCTTTCATTAAAATGCTGGTTACTTCATTGACTGATACTCTGTCTTTAGATTAAAAAAAAAAAATACATATGCCATGTGGCAACTTGGAATTATCATAGAAATTAGTAGTAGAAAAGAGCTATTAGGTCCCATCTGGTCCCTCCCCAGGGGCCAGAGCAGCATTATCCCCTTCAGCATTCGCCCTCTGCTTTGTCCAGGCTGGTGGCTCGTGTTTTGGAGATGGCATTCTTTGCGGTGATTTCCACAGCACTCTGGACTTAATCTTATGGCTGGTGTCGGTTCAGCCTTCCACATGGAGTTTTATTTCACAAGTTAAAAAAAAAGATTGTTGGCAGAGATGAGAAAGACTTATTCAGCAATTGATTCGTCAGTTTGCATGTCAGCTAGGATGAGTGGGACACTCCTCAGTCAAGTATGTGGGATGAGGACCAAAAAAAAAAAAAAACCCATCTGCAAAGAACAAAATTACATTTTAAGTCCATTGTGATTTTTGCCACATCACCTTCTCCAGTTATCAAACTTGTCATTACAAAATGTATGATTTGTTATCTTGTTAAACACTGTTTTGTCAAATAATACAGTCAGAGGAAACATTTTGTTGTAGGAGAAACCATATTTTTTAAAGTTCAAAGGGTAGGATTTAGTATGATTTTCAGAACTTTTCAAGTACTCACATTTGGATTAATATAGATGCCAGCTCCAACTACTGATGTTAATGTGGATTAGTAAATTCAGAATTCTAAAATAACTCATAAAATAATAAGATTAACATCTCAGAGGACACCTTAGTACAGAAACAGGAATGAAAAAGCAAGGAATCTTATGTTTATAACTATAAAAATATAAACAATTTTATATGTTGAGAAATTTAATTGGGCTAAATAGTCTATTTAAAATAAGAAATAAGCTGTTATATGCAATTTTTTTGTAGAGAGACATAACCACTCGGGAAAAAATCTCTGTTTCTATACCATTTTTTCACTTCTGTCTACAAAAGAACAAATGTTAAGACCAGAAAATAGAAGCACTTCAAGAACAACAGTTGGGGAAAATGGAAAAAATAAGGAAAGGGGAGGTTTTTTAAATATATTTTTGAATTTTTTTTAAAAGTATTATTAGCTTTTTAGCCTTTATAAATCTAGGTATCTATTTCGACCTTTAATAATTACTTGGTCCCTTAACATTTTATTAAAACATTTCTCAGGGCTACTCTAACTGATGTCTTGAATTCACTACTTTCTTGATGTAAGTTTCTTAGATTTGAATTTTTGGAAACACAGAATAGCCTCACACAACCTAGTCATGAGTATCTCCTTACATTTATTCATTTGCCAAAGTAGCCTCTATGAATTCATGATCTACTGGATCTCATTCTGGGGCTCAGGATACAAGGGGAGCAAGGGAAATTTGTGGGCCTTGTCTACAGGCTTCATCTAGAGAAGACAAGCAAACAAATTCACTTCTGTAAAGCAACTAAACAAAGAGTTGGGGATGAGGTGGTGTCAGTACAAGGCCTCTTGGTAGGTAGGACATGTGGACTGAGGTTGGAGAGTGAGGGGAAGCTATCCTCAGGGGCAGGAGCTGCTCCAGGCAGAGGGCTTGATAGCAAGTGCAAGGACTCAGTGTGTTCTTAAGGCTAAGCTTTCTAAGGATTATGTGTATGGTCACATCTATCACAGTTGCCTGTGACAGACCCAAGAGTCAGCTTCTCACTGAGATGGTGTTCTGGGTGATACTGGGGAAGCCTAGTTCCCTGTTTGCTAACCTCATGACCTACCTTGAAAGCTCTAATCTTAATGCTATCTGATTCTAGGGGCAATAGATGAGGGTGGACTATAGGGGCTACAACCCCAAGGCCCTGCAAGTACAAACCCCACAAACCCTCACCCCAGGGGCTGAAAAGATTAGTAATGCTGTAGTTACACTTAAAATCAGGACCTCCTGTAGTCCCAGTGCAAAAACAAATATGGGCTCCTTCTTCAAAAAAACCAGGAAAAAGTGCCTTTAAATTAATGTGCTAAAATAGAAAGCTTTTTTTTTCCCCTCATTTTTCTGTGGTTTTTGTCTCTACTCATCACGGTGCTTTTTCTTTGCTATTTAATGCCATTTTAAGAAAAGAATTATTAAAATTGTTAAATTATTAGCTTTAATTTTACCTTCCTTTATTGCCAGTTCAGTATGTAAAGATAAAAGCATTTAACTTTATGCAAATATGAAAACATTAACCTATTCTAAGTAAAAGTTACACAGTCCTTCTTTCATAGCTTGCAAAAGCATCTGTACCTTCATACTAGAACAGTGGCTCCTCTGCACAAAACTAACATCCATTTTTCTTTTACCTTTTACTACACATATTGTACCACCACTCTACCCTCAGTTGATGGGGAGAAGGAATGATGGGTCATCCTGTTTTTACCTTCTGTGCCATCAATTCAGAGTAAATTGTTGACTAATGTGAGGCAGTAACAAAGACTATGGTAGGGTCCCTTAGTTCTTCATGTTTCATAGGACACCAATGTGTGCTTTTGTTATAGGGTACCCCAAATGTGTTGGAGGACAGGGAGAGGGGCACCCCAGAAGTCCCAAACCTGCCTGTTCTAAGTGGGTTCTGCCATCCGCCACAATAAGACAAAACATATAAAACTTTAATGAAAAGGGACTTTAATACAGTGAGTATACAATACAGAAGACAAAGAATGTAATATCTAAATCAAACACCTGAAATTACCCATCCCCTCGTGGGCAAAAGGTCATCCAAAAGTGGTTGGTCCAAAGCAAGGCCTGAAAGCTGCCACAAGACTAAAGCACCTTCTGGCTAAGACTCATGAAAAAGGGTCAGAAATGGCCAGACAAACCTGGGAGGAAAAGAGCAAAATCAAAATCAGTATAAACACTGCCATAGTCACCTCCCTACAGGTATCTCACCCACATCTGCCTTAACCAGTCCAGGGTCAGGAAACAAGCACGGTTTCTTCATCACAGGCTTGCTGCTCCATGTAGCTTCCTCAGTTCTCCTTGTTCTTCATCCAGCTTCCTTCTCTTCTTCTCTTTTTTTCTCTGCTCAGCTCCACCCTCCTTCTGGGTGGGGCAGGGAACCTGGAACTTCCCCTTTTCCTAGGGACCACCTTGTTACACTTTCTGCATTCAAAGCACAATTCTATTTTACCTGGAAAATGTGATTCTCAGACTTGCCTCCCCCTTCCCAATCCCCACCTGTGTTCTCCCTCCAACCCCTTAGTAGCAGTCAAAGAAGCAGCATACTTCCCACGTATTCATTTTGAGTTTCCCTGAATACCCAGGGACCGTGGCCTCCCATAGTCTGTGCCCTCACCCCGTCACTAAGGCTCCATTTAAACAGGGCTTAGAGACCAAAGAACTAGCAGCTAAAACGTGTGTGTCTTTTCTCTAATTAAGCGCATGCTCCATTTTCTCATCACACTTCAAGTACAAAACATAAGATCAAAGATAAAATTAAGAATCTCAAAATGGCAGCAGTAGAGCATTATGCCAGACAAGACTTGTTTAAACACAGGCCCTAAGCAGCTGCATAGGTGATACATATATGAATCCCTGTCTGGAACCCACTCTGAACACCCCCGCACCACTGTAAGGCTTGGGGAGCTCTCTTTCTATGTGTTTGTTAGATTTGACTCTCTCCCTAAAGACTGGCAGTATATCCCACAGCAAGATTTTATTGACATGTGAGCCAAGACTTGTTGAAGAATGAGGCCACTTGTAGGCACAACTTTAGTAGATATAGCTCATTTTAGAGACAAAAAGTCTGAGAGAGAATTATTATTACCTGTTTCCCTAAGATGTTAGGTACAGTAGTGAGTGATGACAAAGAACAAAGAAAGGGAAAATACCTTGGTCAACACAGACCTTTTTTTTTTTTTAAAGATTTTATTTGTACATACAGAACTGGGGTACAGGCCAGAGGCTCAGGGGCGGTGAGAGGCCTCACCAGAGACAGAGTGGGGAACAGAACAGGCAGATCGACAAAGTACACTGCTGAGGGGAGCAGCGGGTGGGACAGGAGAGGTCTGCCACGCCATGTGGTCACCTCCTGG